CCAGCCACAAAATAGAGCGAAAAAACCAAGTCAAAGACCTGGGAGTGAACATGTCGGAGGATCTCACCTTCAAGGACCATAACATTGTATCAATCGCATCTGCTAGAAAAAAGATAGGATGGATAATGAAAACCTTCAAAACTAGGGATGCTGAACCCATTATGACACTCTTCAGGTCGCTTGTTCTATCTAGGCTGGAATATTGCTGCACACTAATAGCACCTTTCAAAGCAGGTGAAATTGCTGACCTAGAAAATGTAGAGAACCTTCACGGCGCGCATAATGGAGATAAAACACCTCAATTACTGGGAGCGCTTAAAGTTCCTGAACCTGTATTCCCTGGAATGCAGGCGGGAGAGATACATGATTATATACACCTGGAAAATCCTATAGGGCTAGTACCAAACTTGCACACGAAAATCACTCACAACGGAAGCAAAAGACTTGGCAGACGATGCAATATCCCCCCAATGAAAAGCAGGGGTGTCACTAACACGTTAAGAGACAATACAATAAGTGTCAGGGGCCCGAGACTGTTCAACTGCCTCAAGGCATACATAAGGGGAATTACCAATAGACCCCTGACAGTCTTCAAGCTGGCACTAGACAAGCACCTAAAATCGGTACCTGACCAGCCACGCTCTGGCTCGTACGTTGGATTGCGTGCAGCCAGTAGTAACAGCCTGGTTGATCAGGCTCTGATCCACCAGGAGGCCTGGTCACACACAGACCGGGCCGCGGGGCCGTTGAGCCCTGGAACTCTCTCCAGGTATCCAGGTATCCTCTGTGTTGGGATAAATGTACATTTAACTTCTATTCATGCTCACTTAAGGATATGAATTGTTGTTTGAAGGTTCCACTATCTTTACTATTTATCCTCCTAATACATTATGCTTATGAGTATTAGTATTATCACTGAATTCTCTTCATACTGCTCTCGTGTGTGTGTGTGTGTGTGTATATGTGTGTGCACGCTCACACACACACCCACACATGAGATTTAGCTTCCACATGTTAGCATGTATGGAGGACTCTTGTCGATAGACACGTGGAATGTTTTGAGTGCTGTGTTTCTATATGTATTCACGATGATTTCTTTTTTTTTTAGGTGGATTGAGACCCACCTGTTTTCCCTGCTTTCATAATACTGGGTCCCAGTCCCTGGACCCATCACGTACCTCTGTAATCTGTAAATACCTTTGCAACTTGTCATGATTGTCACCAGACCTACCTGGAGTTCATTAACTTTGTAAATTGTGAGTTCATTACCTTTGTAAATTGTGAGTTCATCACCTTTGTAATTGTGAGTTCATTACCTCTGTAACTTGATCAGCTATCAAAACTTTGGAGTCTAGTCCCTGGACCAATTATGTATCTCTGTAGTCTTTTGACTACCGCCCACAGGATGGGTATTAGGTGCATAATAAACATATTAAACTAAAAACTCATAAAACTATCTTATATGATTTCTAGCTCTTGAAGCTTATCATATCAATTCGAATTTCTGAAATGAATTTTCTTCATTGCCACTTTGTCCAATTTACTGCACTTTCCAGCTACTGTTAGGTCTAAAAAAATACTCGCTTACATCCCTATGGTTAACTTGTGTCAAGATTGTCCTCCTCTTCCCCCTTGATCCTAGCCAACGCAATTCGCTTAGCCTGTTAATTTCTGTTAGTTTTTCATGTCGTATATCTATTTTTCTCCTGTTTCTAGGCCAGAATTAGATGCTTGGAACTGGGCAGTGAGAACTGGAATGCTTGCCACTTTGTTTTGTGTTTGTGCTCACGTATTTGTGTTTAAAAAGATCAGTCAATAACTCGTGTGTGTGTGTGTGTGTGTGTGTGTGTGTGTGTGTGTGTGTGTGTGTGTGTGTGTGTGTGTGTGTGTGTGTGTGTGTGTGTGTGTGTGTGTGTGTGTGTGTGTGTGTGTGTGTGTGTGTGTGTGTGTGTGTGTGTGTGTGTGTGTCTTGCTTCTGGAACAGAGCTATGTTCTTAGTCTGGGTTCTTTAGAATTTAAATTATTTTTTTTTTAATCGATAGATGTACTAAAACATTCTGAACTTTGTTCCATTGTTTTTCCACTTTCTGAAGAAATCTTTGATATGCTTTTGCCAACTATTTAGTTTTGAATTATATCCTACTTTTCTCTGTGATGATGGTCTTAAACAAATTTATCAATTTTCTCAATCATACTCAAATCCCATGTTTCATTGTCAGGTTTCTAATTTTCCTCATATCAGCAAATGGGAATAATTTTAGTTGTTTTTCTAATAAGAAAATAATCGTTACATGTTTGTCGCCTAAAAATAAGTAATTACTCACATATCGTATTAATGCTCGAAATATTTTAAAAAAATTTATTCGTGTATGAATATTTGACTTAAGATAAACAAGTAAACGTGAAGTAGACAAAAGTCCTCATTGTTTAATAACCATCTCAAGGAGAAGAAAAATCAAGGACTCTTCCTGCAACTCTGCTATAAAAGCCCAGCGTCAGTGCTGCAAGACACACTCGCTCAGCTGTGGCCACAGTTGATAATCTCACAAACATGAATTTCTTGGTGAGTCTTTGCACAGTGTATATGTTTTTCCTGTCCTCTTCTTTTCCATTAAAGAACTTCCTTTCAATAATGGGACAAACAAAATTGTATTATATATATATATATAAAATATATATATATATAATATATATATATAAAATAAAATTATATATAAAATATATAAAATTTATAATAAAATATATATTATATAAATAAATATATGCAAAACAACCACTCTGATAGAATAGAGAAATTCCAAGCGCCTACGTGACTACTCAAAATTATCAAGGAACAAATGTGAGAAAGTCACGAAAGCGCTTGGAATTTCTCTATTCTTCAGAGGGGTTTTGTTTTTGCATATTCTGAAATCACCTGTTTACTGTAAATCTTAATTGCATATATATATAATATATATATATATATATATATATATTATATATTATATATATATATATAATATTATATATAAATATATAATTTTATAAATAATATATATATAAATATATTATATGAGAGAGAGAGAGAGAGAGAGAGAGAGAGATACAAGCATTTCATATTCTAACGTTTCATTAAATATAAAAAAAGTGCTAAAAAAATACGGAAATAATAATTTTATGTTTAAAGCTGTAGGATGTCCCCTTTCATGTAGGTTTCTCGTGTTCCTGGCGGCTGCCGTTTGCGCTTCTGATGTTGAGAAGCGAGATGCGGAGCCCACACAATTATATTACCGTCCACACTATTACCGTCCACACTACACCCCGCACACTCATCATGCTGGCAAAAGGTCGGCAGAGCCAGAGGCTGAACCTACCTACCCTCAGCACTATGTTCCGTCCAACCATTACTTGAATATCTACAAACGCTACCAGAGATCTGCAGAGCCAGAGGCTGAACCTACCTATCGTCAGCACTACATCCCGTCATACCATTACAGGAATACCCACTATCGCTACCAAAGATCTGCAGAGCCAGAGGCTGAACCTACTTACCCTACCTACTACGTTCCATCCTACCATTACCAGCATGGTAAAAATCGCTACCAGAGATCTGCTGACCCTATTGCTGATGCTAATCCTACTCATCCCCACTATGGTTATGGGTATCCTACCCATTACTACGGCTATGCCACCTACAGACAACACCCTATTTACAAGAGATCTGCTGATCCCATTTATGTTCCATACCATGGTAAAAGTTATTATTCCCACAACTATTACCCTTATTACTAAGGCACCCAAAAGCAACACAGTATTAATTGCCTTCAACTAATGTAGCATTAGAAGCATTACTTGCTGTGAAATAAAATATTACCTGATATATGAAGTATTTCATTTAATAAAATACTTAATACTCTACCGTATGCAATCCTAAATTAAATCAAATGATTTCAATGTCATTTTAACCGTACATTAACAATAATCTATTCTTTGTTAGAATTAATAAAAAAGGACAATTATTTCTTATTAAAAGTTTACTTATTTAAATGGTTTGAAATACGTGAATTGCATTCTTCACAAATACACGGCACATCTTCGTAGGCATTTTGGCAAGTGTAAGAAAGTGTCATCTGAATACCCGAGCAGAAATATACGTGGGAGACGTAGGTCTCGAGACACTCCCCAGAGAGGTAGCCAGGGGCCGGGTCACCACTCTTGGAAATGACCCAGGCCGGGAGATTACCGGCGAATAAAAAAGAAAAAATATATATACGTTGATAAACATTATATGACTCATAAACGTCATAACTCACAGTTTTACCCAAAATAAATTTATAATTTATTAAACAATCTGCAACAAGCTTTTCTAAAATGATACGAGAAAAAAAATGAATGCGGAAATATGACAAGTATATCATATAAGTAAAAGATGTAGATTAAAGGTTTCGAAATTTATCCATATCAAAGCTTTTATTCCTTAAGTTGATGCGAAGATTCTCACAATATTGATATTAATAACGTTGATAAACACATATATGTTCTCAATCCAGATAATATACTTGAATTTCATAACTTATCATCGACTTTCACATTTTTGGTAAATTCTAAAATTATTTAACAATCAAAGAGTAAATAATCCTTAATTTTTATTATATAACAGCTCAATATTTACAATTTTGATAGAGTACCTGAATCTATTATTAAAACTATCTCAAATCACTTATAAATTTTTAAAATATGCTTAATTTTCTATGACCGTGTACCATTATTTAGAATGAAGCCTTGAATCTTACCACTCTGTTCCGATTTTACTGTCGTAACCGAGATTCAGTAATTACTTGTTATTGTTTGTCAGTCTTAAAATGCCTTTCCGTTTCCTTCAGTATCTCATTTAAAACTACATTTTCTCCAACTCATTTTATTTCATGTGCTATCCACACTTATTTTTTACCTACATCAATGATCAGTTAGCACATGGGATTTACTGACTTCACTTAACTTTTATCCATGGACTGCTTGCAGAGGCAAATGCAATGTTCGCGGCTTTCACAGAGACCCACATAAAAGATCACTTGGACAATGAAATATGGATCCCAGGTTACAACCTGTACAGATGCGACAGAGTGAACAGGCAAAAAGGGGGGGAGGGGTTGGCCTGTATATCGCAGAGTCACTTGTTTGCACAAAACTGCTTAATGCCTCAAATGATGTAGTGGAAGTTTTAGCAGTAAAGATCGGAACCAAAACCTAGTCATTGTGGTAGTCTACAAGTCTCCGGATGCAACGTCAAAGCAATTCCAAGAACAGCTGGTAAAAATTGACCACTGTCTGGAAAATCTGCTAGCTCCTGCCCCCAACATCTTGCTCTTGGGGGATTTCAACTTAGGGCACCTAAAATGGAGGAATATAGCAAATAATGTTGTTGTAGTGATAAAACCAGGAGGCAGCTTGACGAAAACTCACAACACAACGAGCTTTTAAATCTCTGCACAAAATTCAACTTAAACCAGCAAATAATAGAGCCTACTAGACTGGAAAATACACTAGACCTCATCTTCACTAACAATGATGATCTGATACGAAATGTCACCATATCAAAAACAATGTACTCAGATCACAATATAATCGAGGTTCAGACATGTATGCGTGGAGCCCCAGACCAACATAATGAGATTAGTCACGAGGGAGCGTTCACCAAATTCAACTTCAATAACAAGAACATAAAGTGGGACCAAGTAAACCAAGTCCTAACCGATATAAGCTGGGAAGGTAGACTAAGCAACACAGACCCCAACTCATGCCTAGAACAGATTAACTCGGTGGCACTCGATGTATGCTCAAGGCTTATTCCTTAATGAAGAAGGAGGAATAGATGTTAAATAGAAAGAGACAGGCGCTCCCTTTACAGGCGACGAAAAAGAATAACAGAGCGGCTAAAAGAGACCAATATATCTGAAATGCGTAGGGAGTCACTGGTCAGAGAAATAGCAAACATTGAACTTAAGCTAAAGGAATCTTATAGGAGTCAGGAAACGCTGGAAGAACTAAAAGCCATAAATGAAATCGAAAGTAACCCGAAGCATTTCTTTTCCTATGCCAGATCAAAGTCGAGAACAACATCCAGTACTGGGCACCTACTTAAACAAGATGGGTCCTACACAGATGACAGCAAGGAAATGAGTGAGCTACTCAGTCTGGTTAGCAAGCCGCTAACCAGACTGAGAGTCGAAGATCAAAATTATTTTTTTTATGAGAGAGCCACAGAATTTGGATAACACAAGCCTATCCGATGTTATCCTGACACCAAATGACTTCGAACAGGCGATAAATGACATGCTCATGCACTCTGCCCCTGGGCCAGACTCATGGAACTCCGTGTTCATCAAGAACTGCAAGAAGCCCCTATCACGAGCTTTTACCATCCTATGGAGAGGGAGCATGGACACGGGGATCGTCCCACAGTTACTAAAAACAACAGACATAGCCCCACTCCACAAAGGGGGCAGTTAAGTAATAGCAAAGAACTACAGACCGATAGCACTAACATCCCATATCATAAAAATCTTTGAAAGGGTCCTAAGAAGCAAGATCGCCACCAATCTGGAAACCCATCAATTACACAACCCAGGGCAACATGGGTTTAGAGCAGGTCGCTCGTGTCTGTCTCAACTATTGGATCACTACGACAAGGTCCTAGATGGACTAGAAGACAAAAACAATGCAAATGTAATATATACAGACTTTGCAAAAGCCTTCGACAAGTGTGATCATGGCGTAATACGCACAAAATGCGTGCTAAAGGAATAACAGGAAAAGTTGGTAGATGGATCTATAATTTCCTCACAAACAGAACACAAAGAGTAGTAGTCAACAGAGTAAAGCCCGAGGCGGCTAAGGTGAAAAGCTCTGTTCCACAAGGCACAGTACTCGCTCCCATCTTGCTTCTCATCCTCATATCTGACATAGACAAGGATGTCAGCCACAGCACCGTGTCTTCCTTTGCAGATGACACCCGACTCTGCATGACAGTGTCTTCCATTGCAGACAATGCAAGGCTCTAGGCAGACATCAACCAAATTTTTCAATGGGCTGCAGAAAACAATATGAAGTTCAACGATGAGAAATTTTAATTACTCCGATATGGTAAACACGAGGAAATTAAAACTTCATCAGAGTACAAAACAAATTCCAGCCACAAAATAGAGCGAAAAACCAACGTCAAAGACCTGGGAGTGAACATGTCGGAGGATCTCACCTTCAAGGACCATAACATTGTATCAATCGCATCTGCTAGAAAAAAGATAGGATGGATAATGAAAACCTTCAAAACTAGGGATGCTGAACCCATTATGACACTCTTCAGGTCGCTTGTTCTATCTAGGCTGGAATATTGCTGCACACTAATAGCACCTTTCAAAGCAGGTGAAATTGCTGACCTAGAAAATGTAGAGAACCTTCACGGCGCGCATAATGGAGATAAAACACCTCAATTACTGGGAGCGCTTAAAGTTCCTGAACCTGTATTCCCTGGAATGCAGGCGGGAGAGATACATGATTATATACACCTGGAAAATCCTATAGGGGCTAGTACCAAACTTGCACACGAAAATCACTCACAACGGAAGCAAAAGACTTGGCAGACGATGCAATATCCCCCCAATGAAAAGCAGGGGTGTCACAAAACACGTTAAGAGACAATACAATAAGTGTCAGGGGCCGAGACTGTTCAACTTCCTCAAGGCATACATAAGGGGAATTACCAATAGACCCCTGACAGTCTTCAAGCTGGCACTAGACAAGCACCTAAAATCGGTACCTGACCAGCCACGCTCTGGCTCGTACGTTGGATTGCGTGCAGCCAGTAGTAACAGCCTGGTTGATCAGGCTCTGATCCACCAGGAGGCCTGGTCACACACAGACCGGGCCGCGGGGCCGTTGAGCCCTGGAACTCTCTCCAGGTATCCAGGTATCCTCTGTGTTGGGATAAATGTACATTTAAACTTCTATTCATGCTCACTTAAGGATATGAATTGTTGTTTGAAGGTTCCACTATCTTTACTATTTATCCTCCTAATACATTATGCTTATGAGTATTAGTATTATCACTGAATTCTCTTCATACTGCTCTCGTGTGTGTGTGTGTGTGTGTGTGTATGTGTGTGCCCGCTCACACACACACCCACACATGAGATTTAGCTTCCACATGTTAGCATGTATGGAGGACTCTTGTCGATAGACACGTGGAATGTTTTGAGTGCTGTGTTTCTATATGTATTCACGATGATTTCTTTTTTTTTTAGGTGGATTGAGACCCACCTGTTTTCCCTGCTTTCATAATACTGGGTCCCAGTCCCTGGACCCATCACGTACCTCTGTAATCTGTAAATACCTTTGCAACTTGTCATGATTGTCACCAGACCTACCTGGAGTTCATTAACTTTGTAAATTGTGAGTTCATTACCTTTGTAAATTGTGAGTTCATCCCCTTTTGTAATTGTGAGTTCATTACCTCTGTAACTTGATCAGCTATCAAAACTTTGGAGTCTAGTCCCTGGACCAATTATGTATCTCTGTAGTCTTTTGACTACCGCCCACAGGATGGGTATGAGGTGCATAATAAACATATTAAACTAAAAACTCATAAAACTATCTTATATGATTTCTAGCTCTTGAAGCTTATCATATCAATTCGAATTTCTGAAATGAATTTTCTTCATTGCCACTTTGTCCAATTTACTGCACTTTCCAGCTACTGTTAGGTCTAAAAAAATACTCGCTTACATCCCTATGGTTAACTTGTGTCAAGATTGTCCTCCTCTTCCCCCTTGATCCTAGCCAACGCAATTCGCTTAGCCTGTTAATTTCTGTTAGTTTTTCATGTCGTATATCTATTTTTCTCCTGTTTCTAGGCCAGAATTAGATGCTTGGAACTGGGCAGTGAGAACTGGAATGCTTGCCACTTTGTTTTGTGTTTGTGCTCACGTATTTGTGTTTAAAAAGATCAGTCAATAACTCGGGGTGTGTGTGTGTTGTGTGTGTGTTGTGTGGTGTGTGGTGTGTTGTTGTGTGTGTGTTGTGTGTGTGTGTGTGTGTGTGTTGTGGGGTGGGGTGTGTGTGTTGGTGTGGTTGTGTGTGTGTGTGTGTGTGTGTGTGTGTGTGTCTTTTTTAAAAATGTTTTTGGAATTTATTATTTTTTTTTAATCGATAGATGTACTAAAACATTCTGAACTTGTGTTCCATTGTTTTCCACTTTCTGAAGAATCTTTGATATGCTTTTGCCAATATTAGTTTTGATTATATCTACTTTTCTCTGTGATGATGGTCTTAAACAAATTTATTTAATTTTCTCAATCTACCAAATCTTTTCATTGTCAGGTTTAATTTTCTCATATCAGCAAATGGAATAATTTTAGTTTTTTCTAAAAAGAAAATTATCGTTCATGTTTGTCGCCTAAAAATAAGTAATTATCACAATCGTATTAATGCTCGAAATATTTAAAAAAATTTATTCGTGTATGAATATTTGACTTAAGAATAAACAAGTAACGTGAAGAGACAAAAGTCCTCATTGTTTATAACCATCTCAAGGGAAGAAAATAATCAAGGACTCTTCCTGCAACTCTGCTATAAAACCCAGCGTCAGTGCTGCAAGACACCTCGCTCAGCTGTGGCACAGTTGATAATCTCACAAACATAATTCTTGGTGAGTCTTGCAACATGTATATGTTTTCCTGCTCTTCTTTTCATTAAGAATTTTTCAATAATGGGACAAACAAAATGTATTATAATATATAATATATATATTGTATATATAATATATATATAAATTTATATATATATAAATAAGTATATATATAATGAATTACTATAAAAACCCACTCTGAAGATAGAGAAATTCAAGCGCCTACGTGACTACTCACTTATCAAGGAACTAGTGATAGTCACGAAAGGCTTGGAATTTCTCTATTCTTTCAAAAGTGGTTGTTTTCATGTTCTTCTTTTCTTGAACATTCTTAATAATAATATCTAAAATTGATATATATATATATATATATATATATATATATATTTTATATATTATAAAATATAAAATTATATATATATAATTTATATATATATATATGTATATATATATTATAAATATGAGAAGAGAGAAGAGAGAGAGAGAGATACAAGCATTTCATATTCTAACGTTTCATTAAATATAAAAAAGTGCTAAAAAAAATATGGAAATAATAATTTTATGTTTAAAGCTGTAGGATGTCTCTTTCATGTAGGTTCTCGTGTTCCTGGCGGCTGCCGTTTGCGCTTCTGATGTTGAGAAGCGAGATGCGGAGCCCACACAATTATATTACCGTCCACACTATTACCGTCCACACTACACCCCGCACACTCATCATGCTGGCAAAAGGTCGGCAGAGCCAGAGGCTGAACCTACCTACCCTCAGCACTATGTTCCGTCCAACCATTACTTGAATATCTACAAACGCTACCAGAGATCTGCAGAGCCAGAGGCTGAACCTACCTATCGTCAGCACTACATCCCGTCATACCATTACAGGAATACCCACTATCGCTACCAAAGATCTGCAGAGCCAGAGGCTGAACCTACTTACCCTACCTACTACGTTCCATCCTACCATTACCAGCATGGTAAAAATCGCTACCAGAGATCTGCTGACCCTATTGCTGATGCTAATCCTACTCATCCCCACTATGGTTATGGGTATCCTACCCATTACTACGGCTATGCCACCTACAGACAACACCCTATTTACAAGAGATCTGCTGATCCCATTTATGTTCCATACCATGGTAAAAGTTATTATTCCCACAACTATTACCCTTATTACTAAGGCACCCAAAAGCAACACAGTATTAATTGGCTTCAACTAATGTAGCATTAGAAGCATTACTTGCTGTGAAATAAAATATTACCTGATATATGAAGTATTTCATTTAATAAAATACTTAATACTCTACCGTATGCAATCCTAAATTAAATCAAATGATTTCAATGTCATTTTAACCGTACATTAACAATAATCTATTCTTTGTTAGAATTAAAAAAAAGGACAATTATTTCTTATTAAAAGTTTACTTATTTAAATGGTTTGAAATACGTGAATTGCATTCTTCACAAATACACGGCACATCTTCGTAGGCATTTTGGCAAGGTAAGAAAGTGTCATCTGAATACCGAGCAGAAATATACGTGGGAGACGTAGGTCTCGAACACTCCCAGAGAGGTAGCCAGGGGCTGGGTCACCACTCTTGGAAATGACCCGTGCCGGGAGATTACCGGCGAATAAAAAAGAAAAAATATATATACGTTGATAAACATTATATGACTCATAAACGTCATAACTCACAGTTTTACCCAAAATAAATTTATAATTTATTAAACAATCTGCAACAAGCTTTCCTAAAATGATACGAGAAAAAAAATGAATGCGGAAATATGACAAGTAAATCATATAAGTAAAAGATGTAGATTAAAGGTTTCGAAATTTATCCATATCAAAGCTTTTATTCCTTAAGTTGATGCGAAGATTCTCACAATATTGATATTAATAACGTTGATAAACACATATATGTTCTCAATCCAGATAATATACTTGAATTTCATAACTTATCATCGACTTTCACATTTTTGGTAAATTCTAAAATTATTTAACAATCAAAGGGTAAATAATCCTTAATTTTTATTATATAACAGCATAATGTTTACAGTTTTGATAGAGTACCTGAATCTATTATTAAAACTATCTCAAATCACTTATAAATTTTTAAAATACGCTTAATTTTCTATGACGTGTACCATTATTTAGAATGAAGCCTTGAATCTTACCACTCTGTTCCGATTTTACTGTCGTAACCGAGATTCAGTAATTACTTGTTATTGTTTGTCAGTCTTAAAATGCCTTTCCGTTTCCTTCAGTATCTCATTTAAAACTACATTTTCTCCAACTCATTTTATTTCATGTGCTATCCACACTTATTTTTTACCTACATCAATGATCAGTTAGCACATGGGATTTACTGACTTCACTTAACTTTTATCCATGGACTGCTTGCAGAGGCAAATGCAATGTTCGCGGCTTTCACAGAGACCCACATAAAAGATCACTTGGACAATGAAATATGGATCCCAGGTTACAACCTGTACAGATGCGACAGAGTGAACAGGCAAAAAGGGGGGGAGGGGTTGGCCTGTATATCGCAGAGTCACTTGTTTGCACAAAACTGCTTAATGCCTCAAATGATGTAGTGGAAGTTTTAGCAGTAAAGATCGAGAACCAAAACCTAGTCATTGTGGTAGTCTACAAGTCTCCGGATGCAACGTCCCAGCAATTCCAGGAACAGCTGTTAAAAATTGACCACTGTCTGGAAAATCTGCTAGCTCCTGCCCCCAACATCTTGCTCTTGGGGGATTTCAACTTAAGGACACCTAAAATGGAGGAATATAGCAAATAATGTTGTTGTAGTGATAACACCAGGAGGCAGCGCTGACGAAAACTCACACACACACGAGCTTTTAAATCTCTGCACAAAATTCAACTTAAACCAGCAAATAATAGGCCCACTAGATGGGGAAAAATACGGGAGCAGGGACACGGGGATCGTCCCACATTTAAACTAAAAACAACAGACATACCCCAAAACCCCAAAAAAGGGTCATTTAAGTAATAGCAAAGAACAACAGACCGATAGAAACAAACATCCCTATCCATAAAAATCTTTAAAAAGGGTCCAAGAAAAAGGGACCCGCCCCCCAAATCGGGAAACCCATCAATTACAAAACCCCCAAGGGCAACGGGGGTTTTAGAGCGGGTCGCTCGTGTCGCTCAACTATTGGATCACTACGACAAGGTCCTAAAAGGGACTAGAAGAAAAAAAAACAATGCAAATGTAATATATACAGATTTTTGGAAAAAGCCTTCGACAATTTGTGATAAAGGCGTAATACCCCAAAATGCTGCTAAAGGAATAACGGGAAAAATTTTGGTAATGGATCTTTTTTTTTCCTCACAAACAAAACACAAAGAGTATATTTCCAACAGAAAAAACCCCGGGAGGGGCTAAGGTAAAAGCTTTTTCCCCACAAGGAAACAGTACTCGCTCCCCCCCCCCCTTTTGGGCTTCCCAAATCCTCAAACAAACATGACAAGGTTTCGCCACATGCCCGGGGCCTTCCTTTGCAGATGCCCCCGACTCTGCATGCCAGTGTTTTCCCCCTTGCAAAACAATGAAAGGGCCTAGGCAGCCCCCCCATAAACCCAAAATTTTTCAAGGGCTGCAGAAAAAAATATGAATTTCAAGGGATGAAAAATTTTAATTACTCCGATAGGGTTTAAACCAAAAAAATTTAAAAACTTAAATCAAAATTTTAAAACAAATCCACCCAAAAATAGAGCGAAAAAAAAAACGCAAAGACCGGGGAGTAAACCCATTCGGGGGATCTCACCTTAAAGGCCCAAATAAAAAATTGTATAAATCGCATCTGCTAAAAAAAGTTTAGGATGGAAAAAGAAAACCTTAAAAACCCTAGGGATGCTAAACCCCAAATTATGACACTCTTCAGGTCGCTTGTTCAATCTAGGTTTGGAATATTGCGCACACTAAAAACACCTTTAAAAGCAGGTAAAATTTGCTGACCTAAAAAGTAAAAAAAAAAAAACCTTCACGGCGCCCCAAAAAAGGAGAAAAAACACCTCAATTACGGGGAGCGCTTAAAGTCCTGAACCGTTTTTTCCCGGGAAAATCCCGGGGGAGAGTCCCTGATTATAACACCTGGAAAATCCTATAGGGGCTATACCAAACTTGCACACAAAATCACTCCCCCAACGGGAAGCAAAAGATTTGGGCAACGATGAAAATACCCCCCAAAAAAAAAAGGGCAGGGGTGCACTAAACACGTTAAAAGACAAAAAAATAATTGTCGGGGGCCCGAGACTGTTCAACTCCCCTCAAGGAAAAACAAAAGGGGGAAAATTACCAATGACCCCTTTACAGTCCTTCAAGCGGGCACTAGACAAGCACCTAAAACCCGGACCTAAACCAGCCCGCTCGGCTCGTACTTTTTATTGCTGCAGCCATTTTAACCCAACCGGTTGATCAGGCTCTGTTTCCCCGGGGCCTGGTCACACACATACCGGGCCGGGGGGGCCTTTTGGGCCCGGGAATTTCTCTCCAGGAAAACCAGGTATCCTCTGTGTTGGGAAAAATTGTACTTTTAAAACCTTCTTTTCCATGCTCACTTAAGGATAAAAATTTTGTTTTTTTAAGGGTTTCCACATCTTTACTTTTTTACCCCCTAATAAAATTTTCCCTTATGAGTATTAGAATTATCCCCTGAATTCTTTTTCATACTGCTCCGTGTGGGTGTGTGTGTTTTGTTTGTTATTTGTGTGCACGCCACACACACACCCACACATGAAAATTTAGCTTCCACATGTTACTTTGAAAGGAGGACCTTGTCGATAGACACGGGGAATTTTTTTGAGTCCTGTTTTTTCTAAATGTAATTCCGATGATTTTTTTTTTTTTTTTAAGGGGGAAATTTGAGACCCCCCTTTTTTTCCCCTGCTTTCATAAACGGGGGTCCCATCCCTGGCCCCATCACGAAACCTCTGTAATCTGTAAATACCTTTGCAACTTGTCAGGGAAAGTCACCAAAACCACCTGGAGTTCTTTAAAACTTTGTAAATTGGAGTTCTTTAAACCTTTGTAAATTGTGAGTTCATCCCCTTTTTAATTGGAGTTCTTTACCTCTGAACTTATCAGGATTCAAAACTTTGGAGTCTAGGTCCCGGGCCCCAATTAGTATCCGGGGTATTTTTTGGACTACCCCCACGGGAAAGGGGTAGAGGTGCATAATAAACTTTTTAAACCCAAAAAACTCATAAAACAAACTTATATATTTCTAGCTCTTGAAGTTTAAATCAATCAATTAAAATTTCTAAAATAAATTTTTTCTAAATTGCCACTTTGTCCAATTTACTGCATTTCCAGCTACTGTTAGGAAAAAAAAAAAATTCTCGTTTTACATCCCTATGGTTAACTTGTGTAAAAGATTTCCCCCCCCTTTTCCCCCCCCTTGATCCTACCAACGAAATTCGCTTAGCCGGGTTAATTTTGTTAGTTTTTAAAGTCGTATATCTATTTTTCCTCCGGGTTTTTTAGGCCAAAATTTAAATGTTTGGAACTGGGCAGTAAAAACTGGAATGTTCCCAAACTTTGTTTTGTGTTTGTGCCCTATTTTTTTTTAAAAAAGACACCCAAAACTGGTGTGTGTTGGGGTTGTGGTGTGTGTGTGTGTGTGGTGTGTTTTGTGTTTTTGTGTGGTGGTGGTTGTGTGTTTGGGGTTGGTGTGTGTGTGTTTTGTGGTTTGTGTGTTTGGTGTGTGTGTGTGTGGTGTTTTGTTTTGTGTGGGTGTGTGTGTGTGTGTGTGTGTGGTGTTTTTTTTGGCTTCTGGAACAGAGTTTATGTTTTTTAAGTCTGGGTTTTTTAAAAATTTAAAAATTATTTTTTTTTTAATCGATAAATTACAAAAACTTTCTGAACTTTTTTCCATTGTTTTTCCCCCTTTCTGAAGAAATCTTTGATAGCTTTCCCAAACTTTTTTAGTTTTTTTTTATATCCTACTTTTCTCTGGATGATGGCTTAAAAAAATTTTTAAAATTTTCTAAATCATACCCCAAAACCCATTTTTTCCAATTGCCCAGTTCAAATTTTTCCCCCTATCAAAAAATGGGAAAAATTTAGTTGTTTTTCCTAATAAAAAAAATTAATCGTTACATTTTTTTGGTCGCCTAAAAATAAGAAATTTTTACCAAATACCCGTTTAATGCTCGAAATTTTTAAAAAAAAAAAATTTTTTTCGTGTTTTAATTTTTTTGACTTAAATAAAAAAAGTAAACGTAAGTAGACAAAA